CCAGGATTGCAATGTAAAGCACAGAACAGAGAAGGTGTTTTACATGCTTTTAAACACAGGGACTACCGATGCTGTCACTGCCTGGGTTTGCCGACAAACAACGCATCCAGCTGAGTAATTTATTCTCAGCGTATAATCTTTGACGGCTGAACAGCAGAAAAGCTGTTTGATTCGTTTGAAAATCAGTGCCGCTGCAAGGTGCGAGAGCGGTATTTAGTATCTATTTTGAAACTGATACTGGAGACAGCTGATAAACTGCCAGAAGATGGGGATTGCAACACACAAAGCTAAAATGTGAAGGGCTAACAAACACTGAGGAAAGCCACTCGTAGGGGAATAGAAATGCGGTGGAGTTTGGACTCAATTTATTTTGCCCTTGTAGCCATTTGAGGTCCGTAAATCTTGTGGGTCAACAGGTGTAGGCTGAACATTTCACAAGGGTGGGAAATTTTGTGCACATCCTCTGTAAGGTGGATTGCTGAAGATGGGGCTCCAGTGCCCTGATTTTGAAGGAATATGGAACAATTAAGAAGTAAAGATAATGGCAAATAAAGAACTGAAATTTTATGAGGCTCAAACTAAGCTGTGTTTGGTTGTGACTGAAGCTGAAGCCTTGGTCAGTGTTGCCAATAGTCACTATTTTCTTATTCATTATCCATTTTTGGAGACAAGGAAAGAAAGGCTTAAAGTTATCCATTTAAAAAGCATCAGTGCTCAAAGTACCATTTTCACAGTCAGCTTTGCTTTGGTAGGATTGGCATTTCATCAAGCATAAGATGAGGAATAAACAAATAACTAATAGGTTAGTATGGAAAAAAAAGACAGTTTAAATGTCTCAGATATTTGGAAACCTGGACATAGTGGTGAGTATGCCGACAGTCTTGAGCAGCAATAAGAAACACATAATGAGGAAATTTGCCATCTGTCTAAGGATAGAGCTTGAGGTTGACCCAAAGGCTCTGAAGTAAAGGACAAACTCAACCAGAGGCTGGGCATGAGCTTTAGAACAAGAAACAGTGAAGATAGGAAGAAGATTTTTATATTTTTTAAATAAAGAAATGAAGCTTTATACTAACTATATTTCCCAAAGATTAATGAAGGGATGGGCCTAGAAAGTGTTTTTTAAGTGATAAGGAAGCTCTGCACATACAGATGGAAATCCACATACAGATGGATTATTTTACTGTTGTGGAGATGAGAAGTGAATTTTTACTGCTGAACACAGCTGAGTCAATAGTCAACCTCCTCAGGAAGAGTATTTCTAGTACTGATGCAGACTGACATCGTCAATGCATGAGCACCAGCCAGGTACCACAGTCCCGCTCAGGACTTTTTCATGTGAGGCATTATCTGAACATTTATCCAGGGGCTGTCTCTGCCCCTGCCACCAATGTCTCCACTTATGTGCCAGCCCAAGCCATGCTCTTGTTGTTGTCCATAACAATCTATGCATAGGCTTACAATTCAACATGCATGTGAGCGCTTCTAACATCCTCTATTAATATGAACAGCTGCAAAATTCAGACAGAATGAGTGAATGGGTGATGGGAAAGAGGAAAAAGGAAATTATGATAGAAAGCAGACAGCTGTGAAGACTAGCGACGTGCCCAGCTGATGGTATCACAATCAGTATTTCTGAAATGTGTAATAAGGGATAAATAAGTCAATAAATAAAATCGACTTCAAAAGGCCACTTGGGAAAGGTGCATAGTCTTGATTACCTAATTACAGCAGGAATATTACAGACATGGAAATAGTACAACAAAGTCCCACAGCGACTTTGTAGATCGGAGGCTCCAAAATGGTTAGTGAAACTAGGTCTGTAACCCTCAAAAAAGGAAAAGATTAAGAGGGGACCAGGAGGAGCTGTGCAGGGCTCTGTGGGGAATGGCAGAGAGCAGGGCTGTGGTTATTAGAGCTAATGTCAGACATGAGAATGAGGGGCAGAGTTCTAGCGAGGTCTTGCCCTGTGCAAATGTAATATGTTTCTTTTTTTCTTCCAGAGGGTATATATTATAAGCTACCAGATGCTGCTCTAGAAGCAACCAATCTGACCACATTTCAGATAGAGAAGGAAGCATATGGAGGGAGAGGGGGAGAAGCGCTCTGTCGTGGGGAACAACTGTTTGCTGGAGGAGAGGGCAAGCCCAGTCTGGCCCCCTGCCATCCCCAGCATTTCTCATATCCCTGTGTAATCTTCTGACTTTTGATTTAGATGTTTCCTAAAAATGTGGCTCAGTGGTTGGTACGTACTAGACATTAGCCCAAGAAAAGAATGAAAAAACAAAACAAAACAAAACACCAACCAAAAACACAACACAACGGTACTGTATCTCATTAAAGAATTTTTAAAGGGAGACTCAGAGGCGCCATTTACTTCTTGTTACTCATCTCTTGTCTCCCAGGGCTCCGTCCCGATGCGCGGCCCAAGGGAGCCTCGCATGGAGGGGATGGTGGAGGTGGGCACCGGGGAACAGACGCTGCCCATAGGCACTGGCAGGTGAAGGGACGCAGCTCTGAGAGCCAGGATTGGGCCCGTGCTCGGCAGGCTTACGGCTCAATGAACAGCATTTTTTCCCATAAAACAATTTAAAAGAAAACAGAATTTATCTGTAATTATTTCTTGTTTTCTCCGACCAAACATTCCAACACCGATATTGCTGTAGGCGCAGGCAGCGCCGAACATTGGGAAGTGGATTTTGTAAACAATTTCTCAAAGCACTACAAAGTTTAAATATTAATTTGGCTGTAATTGGCAGAGAAGCAATTAAAAAGGCTATGAAGCCGACTTTTTCCCTCCTTTACTTTCTCCTCCCTTTTCATTTAACCACAGTATAGAAAGTAGATGTAAAACAATAGGACCCTGAGCTGTACTGCATTCTAAGCCTCGCTTGCCTTAAAGCTACAATATGGATTTAATTTATATGCAAATGTAAGCAATAAAAAGCCAGGCACTGTAGAAATTACAGTATTTTTCATAGATGCTCCACCAGCACACAAGGCTGCCTTGATTTCCAACATGGAGCTAATTATTGCTGGTCACTGAGCTACCTTTTTCTTTTAATATCTCACTCTTTCTCTCCCTCTCCTTTTAAAGAATGTGTAAATTATTTTCCCGAGACGGAGAGAAAGAGAGAGAGAGAGAAAGAGCCAAAGATTGGGGACAAGTGAATGAAAACAGCCAGAAATATCTCCTGTGAGATTCAACATCAGGATAATTTCACAGTCTCGCTTTTTGACTGCTGTGTCCCGAAGCTGACCAGCACCATGCAAGGCTGATCAAAGGCCATCGGAAACATCAAGTAAGCCTAAATGGGGCTAAAGTATGCTAATAGAGAAGCTAAATGTACTTTAATCCCGGTATAATACAAGGTAACTCGGAGGCAGCGAAGGGCCTTGTTGCCTTTCCCTACTGGTCCCGGACCCCTGCGAGCCCTGAATAGAAGCCGCTTCCTATTCTTCGCCCGCCGGGGCGCGGGTCCTCAGATGCACACCCGTCCCCTCCTCCTCCGTTTACCCAGCGTCAACAGTCGGCTGAGCAAGCCTCCTCCGCTCCTTAGATCAGCACCCTGTGACCTTCCACATTTAAGCACAGGCCATTAAGCTAAGCTTTCCAGCTGTTGCCTGAATTATGAAGGATTTTTTTTTTTTAGGGGAGGGCAGAGCTTAGTGGAACACTAGGCAACAGCCCCATGACTGCACCCACCGCCACCCAGCTCGCTGCAGCCCGAAATAGGTTTTCTGGGTGAGGAGAGGGGCTGCTTTGAAACCGCTGCTACCCGTGGTTGTCTGGCTCTGTCCTCATTGTGCCCTGATCTAATTTTAGGGAGAGGAAAGGGAGCTGATGGACCTGGGGCTGAGATCTTGTGAGAATCCTCCTGATTGCAGGGCAACTTTCCTCTTAATTCTTCTGATTCATTTTTAGATGCTGACTTCAGTCCTTGCTGCGGGAGGAAAAAGGGTGGTGGTTCTACCCGTGAAATGCCGTGCTTCGGTGGGTGCTTGCAAAACTACCACTTGCAAACCCCAGATTAAAAAGAAAACTGATGTAATTTTAAAGCCCGCCAACTGCCTTAGTGACTGTATCAGAAGATTAAAAACAAAGGTTTCATTGAAGCGCTACCTCCCACTGTGCAGCTGAAAGTCTTATGGCGGAGGCAAATGGTCCTAAATATCTCTCTGCTAAGTACAAATTACATACTGGATATATTAAGTTGTAATGGTGCATTTTCGGGAGTCACTTTGCTTGTGTGAGAGCATCAGTTAAGACTCCAAAAATGCTGACTGCGTGGCACATGGACACAAAAAGGAATTTGACTTTCACAAAAAATGTTTTGTTCATATTAAATGCTTTTTGCCTCTGCCTCCCCCCATCCCCCAGCTCAGCCTGGAGTCTCAAATGCCAGACCCAGTGTGTACAGTAACTCTCTCTGAAATCCGTGGCAGAGAAATAGTATCCTGGCCTGGCAAACTACTGTCTGGGCTTGCATTCCTACTCTTCGCCCCTCTGTGCTGGGGCTTGTAAGAACCCTTCGGATCAGCTGAAATGTAACTGAATAAAGATGCTCCAGAAAATGTCCTTTTAATGTGGAGTTATTTTCCATTTGCATAGGCAACATCCCTTAACTCAGTACACGTGCTGTAAGGCTTCACTTAATAGAAACATTCGCATAAAACTTAATGATTAGCCTTCATTCTGCTCCCAAATGATCAATAAAATGCTAAGTTAATACTGGAAGTGCAAAAGTGTCTATGAGTGTGCATAAACTTGCCTTACTGTGTTGGATATAGGTAAATAGTATCTATGGAAGCAGAGGAGAGCAGAGCTCACAGCTGGATGTAGGGGTGCCACTGGCGGTCCCAGCGGCCCTGTGCCCCTCAGCAGCTCTCCCTGTGTTGCACACACCCTGCTACAGCTCTGAAGGTGTGCTCATACACACACTTCTGCATCACATAACAGTGGGATGGAGTAGAAAAATTACAAATGAAAATCTACCTACCTGCAACAGTCTCCTTTCATACCACTGTGATGGACTGCTTAGCAAATGGTGAGGTGGTGCAATTCTTCCGTAGGAATCATTTGCAACTAATAAATAAGATAAAAATAACATACATGAAAACAACGGATAAAAGTTTATCTAACATAACAATACAGTTTTGCCCAGACCCCTTTAGGTCTTTCTCATGCAAGTTACATGGAAGACCTAATTTTAGAAAATAAAATGTGTAGGATCCAGCAGGCCATGTTTGGTCATTATAGAGTTAATATTGGAAAGATGTGCTTGACAGGGAGCTCCTGCTAAAATAATTCAGCTCAATTCTGCTCCTGCTTACCTTTGTGGGAATAAATTCCCCATTTTTTGGTGCCTATATTTACATATCCACCCACCCACCCAGCAGGGACATTACCTCCTGTCCTCCTCTAGGATGAACTGAACTGCAGTTGTGTTGTAATTAGCAACAGACTTGGAAAAGAAAAGCATTTACAGGACTCTCTTCTGTTCAGCTATAATTTTTTGAACTCTTTTTTAATTAATAGAGATTCTTCCCAACACAGATGAATCTGGACTGAAATCTTTTCACAAAGACCCAAGTGCTCTTCTCAATGCACAGTACATTTTCAAGTCCATTTCTCCACTGCTCTTTTAAAAATAAAAACTTAGAAAAAATTAAATGGTCAATGGAGAATGGGTGATTTCAGTCCCAAACAGTTCTAGTGGTACTCTTTGAAGTTACTGAAAAGTCACTAATTCAGAGGTATCGAATGAAAAGATATGAGGAGTCCATCCCCCGTACATTTCAAACCAAATTGAAGGAATTAATTTTTGTATGCTGCCACAATTTACAAGATAACAATCATCTGAGGTCCAATGGACAACTCAAATACATTTCTACTGAAACCAGTAAGCAAGTGCAGAGCTCACTGGCAGGCAAGGTGCAGCCTTCTATTACAGCAGGAAGTTATAAACCCTACTGAGTGACAGTAATTGTGAGAGCACATAGCAAAGCTAATAAAAAGAGTCTGTCATTAGTGTTTGTTAAACCATATGCACTTTAATAACAGAGACAGGGTAGGTGTGCTGTGCATGCAATCTAATCTATGGTTAATACACACACAAAGCAGACGATGTGGTGGACATTGTGCTTAGTGACTGCTAAGTTTTCCCACATTCAGCATTTTCATTCTAGAAAGATCATTGCAAATATAAAGAAGAGCTGAGATAAGGTTGTGCCCAAAAATCCCCTTCCCTCTGCTGTGACTTACAATGTACAAATCTGAGTCTTATACTTGAAATCTTTTGTTCCACTATCATTTCCTAGGCCTATTTTGGGCTTGTTTGGCATTCCTTTCTCCAACAAGATGAGGCAGCTTTACTCCACAAAGAGGTGGCAACGTTTCTTCTCATTCTGAGAAGTGAACACTCCCAAAATGCAATTCTGCATGCTGTAATATATGGAATTGTATATGCTTTATCAATATAACCTTCTTCTGATATTAAAAAAGCAGGGAAGAAAGCCACCCAGTAACACTAACCTGGTTTACTTCTCTGAGCCACTACTCTGGCTCAGATGGGATGTTTACAATTTAGATGGGTGGCAAATTCTGAGAGGAAGTACCAGTTGATTATTTCTCTGAATCATTCTTGGCCTCATGTCTGAAACCAATCGCTATTTGCCTGCAGAGTAACTAATTAGAACAATTAATCTGAGTAGTAGGACAAGCTGTGAGACTATAACCTGACCCAGGCACACCCTCCACTAACTCAAATTTTGATCAATGCTCAAAATACCATGGAAGGAGGTGAGAAGCATTGGGGTATGCGTGGGGCTGGCACTCTGGTTCTGTTTCTGCAGGGCTGTTGCTGTGACGTGCAGTGAGACCTCAGGCAACCCATTTTCCCCTCGTCTCTGAAGCAGGCCAATGATATTCGCTGCCTTGCTGAGCTTTGTGGATGTCAGCAGCATGTTGTGAATGAAAAGTTAAGTACCTTTCAAAGCCGGCCAAGAGAAGAATTGCATTTTTCTTCCTAATATCTATTAGCTCGGAGCAACAGAAGAATTTGCCTTGCCACTGGCTCTCTTGTCTTGTTTGGAGATGTGGAGCCAGCCTGATCGTACCCACTAGATATTTGTTTTCAGGGTTGCATGAAAGTAGAGCAAAAGAAAGATCTTTTGTGGGGGTGACATGCCTGGAAATATACTTGTCCAAAGCAAACAGCTCTTGTTCTTTCTTCAACTAATTCACAGAAAAGATATTATTTTAGTCAAGAGAACGGTATCTATACTCCTCCATTTAGAAAGGGCGGTGACAGGTTTCCCATGTTGATTTGCAGAAGGTATAATTTCAACAGGAGCATCTGGCTCCTTTGTGAGCTTCAGAAGCAATTGTGTGGCGCTGGCTTTAGGTCGGTGGCTGGTTGAGTCATGTGGGCAGCCTTTGACGTGTCTGCGCTGCTTTCCTGCTCCACTTGGTTTTGTTTTGACTCCCTTTTGAGCTTCCTAAATATGCAGCCTTGTTCCACAGATTCCTTGGGACAGTTTCATTCATAGGTACTGACAAGGACTGCTGTTTCGCCAGGGCTAATGGATCCATTCTTACAGTGGTGCTGTGTGTTACATTAGCCGACAGCTGCTTTCGGCATGTTTTTTTTTTTAGAAATCCTCTTAGGGACAGGAGAAGAAGGATCTCTATGTAGAGGAGCTTTCAATCTTCACAACATACCATGCCAGGTTGTTTGAGAATTTACAACCACTTGTGAGCCTCCCTGGTACAATAACGCGTAGTGTGTTGCTTCTTCCTTCTTTAGACTGCCAAATCCCGGCTCTTATCTTCCAGCTATATTTATAGTTAAATAACCTGAACTCATTTTCTCTCTTGTCTGGTATTGAGTGATTTGACTTTTTTTTAAACTCAGTTTACATGAATGAATTCGCAGCAATTGTTTTTTCACCGAGGTGGTGTTATCTTACTGCACTTGATGTGAGAGAGTGGTTCAAGGGTGTCAGCTACTTTGTCTCCTGCTCAACAAAATCTCTGGATCCATTGGGCACCATGCATCAGATGTGTGCTGTTACCCCTATCTCTGTGAGCAGCAGAGCTTGTCTACTTCCTTAGGTGTACCAAGAGGGGACCGTGACTGAAGTATATTTAAAGAGATAACCGGGAGACCATGGCATTGCCATGTTTAGTGTTCTGGTTATCTTTGGTAAGAAAAGAGACACACAGTGCAAATAGAGAAGGAAAGGGTATGCATGGGATAAGATACAAGGAGGAGTCTATAACTTTAGTAAAATAACAGCAGCATCAAAACCATCAAAATATTATGGTACTACTGAGAAGTACAAAATAATACATGGGGGGAAGCAACAGCCCAAGTACAGTATATCTGATCTTTTAATGTAGGTGGAAAGGAAAAACAAAACAACTGGCTCATTTGCAGCTAGAAAGTTGAAGAGCTATTACCAGGCTCTTTCCAAGTGATGATTGCTTCCCCAAAGTACTTTCTCAATTAAGCATCTCTAAAGCCATCCCAGCTGTTTCTTTGCAGACTGGAGCCACTGCTGTTGTGAGATCCATGTAACAGAGTGAGTTGTCTTACTCAGTAATGGAAATGCTATCAATCAAATATAGATGCTCTCTCACTCCTCAGATCCCTCCCACTGGCACAGAGTTTGGTTTCACATTGCCTAAATTGCTCTAATTAATGTAATCAGTTAAAAACATTCTGTTCCAATGTCACCAATGCCTTCCAGACTATACGGCCCAGTTAAATACATTAATTTTATTGACTAAGACAATTTCTTGAGGTAAATTTAAATGAATATTAGAACCATTTTTTAAAATGATTAGCAGAGTAACATGTAAGAAAAAGTTTACAGGCAGTAATGACATAATTGTAAAGAATGAAGACTAACAAAACCTATTGCTAGAACTGGACCTATTGCCAGACTCAGAACCTACGGACAAATCAAATAGACTTGTTTGCCCAAAACCAATGTGTCATGGCAAGGTGAATAAATGTGATGATGCTCATTTTATTACCATTCTGGAGCCTATATCCAGTTGCTGGAAGATAAAACAGATGAAAGAACAGATACTTATGATCCATTTCAATGTGCCACAGTGAAGGAAGTCACTCCCTAAGTCTGCTTACTTGGCTCAAGGTGTGCTTTACAGAAAGAAGCGGATGGAATCTACGATGGAGACTTTGCCATTGTGCTTAAACCATCATAAAGCACTATGGCCAGATGCAAAGTGAAAGCCAGATGAATGCTTTTTATCTGCTACTGAACTGTTTTGTTTAGAATCCAAAGAGCATATAATCTTCATCTTCACAAAAGCAATAGACATCTCAAACATGAAGCTACTATAAATCATGATCATTTAAACACATCCAGTCTGCCTTTGCCTCTGGAAAGTTGGAGATACAGGTGCAGGAGATCTCTGTGAATGTTTACTGGTTTGGTATGATAAGAGTGCTGACCCTCAGGAGGTCCATGGGAATCCAAAGGGTACTGATCTGGATAGAAAAAAGATGCATGGGACTTGAATCACATCAGTTTAAAACTGTACTTTCATTGAGATGTGTGGGAATAAAGAGACTCACAGGACAAGATGAGTATGGTATAGCCCACCAAGAACAGTAGATACATCTGCTCATTTTTGTAATACATAATTGCCTACAGTATCACATTAGGAATACTAAGTATCCAATGAATCTTGGTCATCTACTTAGCAAAAATAGATATGAAAAACAATTTTTGTGTGTTGGGGCTTGAACAAAACCACAAAAACACAGAAACTTGTAGGCCATTTCACAAACACAGAGTTATCTTTGCCCCCCACAGTGAGACCAAGTATCAAAAGACAAAGTAAGTACTTAGTACTTTTGCCATGCCACCATTCGCTGTTCTCACAAGATGGAAGGAGACATGAAATGCCTGCTAATGAAAGTCAGGGTGGAAGCAAACCAAGACATCTGAATTTGGTCACCAGGAGGATTCTACTGTATCACTGACCAGACTTAGAATTTGTCTCCAGACAGTTTATAGCCACCAAAGCACATTACACTTCAAGCTCTAAATATATTCAAGTTAGTCATGTTGCAAAATCATCTTAAGTTGAATCTCTGAATGTTTGTAATGAAATCTGTTCTCTCTCTGAACTAAAAAGCCAATTCTCTGGCATAGTATTACAACCAGCTTTGAGATAGATATCTGGTTGCTGTAGAATAGCAAATATTCAGAACATCCTAAATTTATGTTCCCAGTAAGCTGGATAATTATTTTCTTCTGTAGGTGTGTGACTCTAGCAATCTTGATGAAGATTTCATAATAACACAAGAGTTCAATTATAGATATTTACTTATTTCCAACAGCAGTGTTCAGATTAATATCAATCAGACTTGCTCAAAATAGAGGTAAAAACAGCTTCCGGGGATAATGGGCTGTACACAGCAGGCTCAAAGTTTGCTAAAAAAGCTAATTCTGAAGTTGTGTTAGCAGTAGGAAGTTTTACAAGAGAGGTATACTATAAATAAGCCATCACTATTCTAACTGAAAGTATAGGCAGCTAGGTATAGGAATAAATGTTCTTCCTAAACATATTTTCCTTTAGTTTTTATTCTTTATAAAGTTCACAAAAGCATCTTTTCCTCTAACGATACCACTGGTAACATAACCAGAAACATCCCTTTCATCTATACAACACAAATGAATCTGAGAAAACACCAAAAGTGCCCCTCGACCACAAAAGTCTCAGATTTTGTGACCAACTTGACCTTAAACATTTCGAAAAAACTTTTTAAAAAGTTACTGCAGTATTAAATGATTATTTGGCTTTTGTTAATTTCCAGCATAATACAAATAACGCTGCATTTTATTTCCATCATAAAGCACCCTAAAATCTGAGCTTATTTTCATCCTACAAAAATGCCAAAGATTCTTTGAAGCATTCATTTTGTAACCATGACTCAACTTTCTATCAATTATGTCATATGAAAAAATTCTGGAGAATACTTCAACAATGTCCTCAGAGCTTTTAAATACTCCTTGTGCCTATGAGACTCAGCTAAGAGCAATCTCATGCACTCAGTGCATGCCAGTAGATTAATTTTGCAACCTTAACAGTATTGAAATAGGAACAGATAAAGGACAGTTGAGTAGCATATTGCAAGTGACTGAAACTTGCAGAAGAGAGGGGCAGTGAGGTGAACTTGTTGGTCAAATGATGAAAGAAATGACTGAGGAAGGAATGGGTTTTAGCCTCTGGAGTTTGTTGGGCTTATTCTTGGAAGCAGAGGGCTTCCAGGAAAGGCTGCTCCTGCACAGTGAGGGTATGTGCATTTTGAGCAGCTCTACACACACAGAGGAGTTATGCTGCTCTGCTGCACCTCACATCCCAAATCTGGTCCTGCTCTCACTGTGGGCTCTGAATCCTACAGACCCTGTCCAAATCCAGCACTGGAGCTTTCTCCATTGCTTTTACCACTGTTTCAGCAAGAGCTGAAGCCAAGAGATCATCTAGGTGACATGACCCCACATATGCTGCTCATTGAGGTGGGTGCAGACCAGCATTTAGATTGATTTAGGTATAGTTTGGGTAAATACAAGTCATCAGGCTCAATACAGGAGAGACTGGAGGAAGTTTTGTGGCTCGACTTGTGCTGGAGGTTGGATTGGATGATCTAATGGTTCCCACTGGATTTAAAATCCACACATGCGGCAAAAAAGTGCTTGCACTAATCTTGATAATCTTACATTTTTCTTTCAGTTGTGCTGGCACCATGGGTGTCTGTGTGACTGTGATGTTGGGAAAACCTATCCCGAAGGATATGTGGATCTGTAGAAACTGAACTTTGGATTCTGATATCTTCAGCAGTTTGCAGAATTGCAGAATTTGATCATCTTTTTCTTTCTTTTTCTTTTTCTTTTTCTTTTTCTTTTTCTTTTT